TGATGGGACAGTAACGTGATGGGGAAGTAACGTGCTGAGGCAGTGGTATGATGGGGAAGTAATGAGTTAGGGCAGTAGAGTAATACACACTCTCTCTCTCTCTCTCTCTCTCTCTCTCTCTCTCTCTCTCTCTCTCTCTCTCTCTCTCATAGCCTCCCAGGACTAGTCTAGCGACCACCACCACAACACGAGGCTCGTGTTGGATATTGGAAAACTTGTGTCGACCACCAGGGAGATGCAGCCACCCACCCACCCAACCAACCACACGAGAATCATCCATCCTCCCACCCAACTACACGAAAAATATCCATCCATCTCCACTATCCACACACCTCAACACCCGCTCACCCCATCCACCCAGCCACATGTTCCCCCACCCCACCACCCACCGTGCTTCTTGTCCACATGATAACTTGGTCAAAGGTTGATGGATTTTGGCCCAACTTGGTGTATGGACGCACCACCTCAAGATCTGAGACCAGTTCAATAGTTAGATGTATTAGTCAAGATTCTGGTGAGTTTTGGCTTCTTTTGTTCCCTGTGGTGTTGCTGGGACCCAAGACGTCTCTGGTTAACTTAGTGTTCTGCTGGTTGTATTTTGTCCAGTGTTAAGATATTTGTTTCTTTTGTCCAGTGATACAATGTTGTATTATGCCCATTGTATAGTTGTATTTTGTCCAGGCTACTGTGGACCAGCCTCGCCTGGCGCCTGGGGCAATATAGTGCTGGTGGGGGACCCACTTGTATGGCTGCCGGTGACCTTCTGCTGACTTAGTAAGAGAGAGAGAGAGAGAGAGAGAGAGAGAGAGATTGTTAGTTGAAAAGTATATGTGTGGGTCTGCGTTACATTTTAGGTAATTTTTTTAGGTAGTACATTTTAGGTCAGGTATATTTTAGGTATCTGTTATAGTTTACGTTGGATATATTGTAAGGTTTGGAATAATTAATTAGCGGAACAGTTCAGTTAAAGGTGTTGCTGGCGTTTAAATTTTCGGGTAGCGAGGAGTGAAATTAAAGCACCACCAAATTTATGTGCCTCGACACCCAACTTTGGAGGTATTTTTTACGTGGTATAATTTAGGACTGACAAAGTGAATTGGAAGCGAGATTTGATTACTCTATTATTAAAAAAAATGACAATAAACTTCTGAGTCGCAAAGTTTGTACTAGAGAAAAAAAGACAAGATTCGCGAAATATAAGAGTTAAGAATTTTCTCAACAGCAACAACCAGAAAGACGAAACTTGGGGCGTAAAATTTTGCATTGAGGTAGATAGAGTGAAGTATGTAACCCAGTACAGTACTGTAATGTTCTGCTGTAATTTTGAGAGTTACAGATAGTGAGTTTATGATGTTATGAATGAATTATATATGACAGCAATCGTAAATAATCTAAAGTTTATAATATGAGGCGAGTGAACCAACATGGCGTCGTATGTGGGATCAACACTATGGCTGCCACAACACGTCTCATGTCTTGTGTCTTGTTTAGCCATTACTGTCTGCTGTTGTGGATGCTCCGTGAACCTCAGGACCAAAACTATAGTACTTCAACTAGACAATACGTTCACTTAACACCAGTCAGAAGACACATTTAATTTAGATAAACTTTCCAATGGTCATGTAGTCAATGTTAAGTACAAGTACATCTGCGGGGGGGTAAGTTAAAGTGTCTCGTTAGGTGAGTCTCAGTAGTTAAGGTAGAGTCTCAGTAGTTAAGAGTTTCAGAGTTAAGGTAGAGTCTCAGTAGTTAAGAGTCTCAGTAGTAGAGTCTCAGTAGTTAAGGTGGAGTCTCAGTAGTTAAGTAGAGTGTCTAGTTAGGGTAGAGTCTCAGTAGTTAAGGTAGAGTCTCAGTAGTTAAGGTAGAGTCTCAGTATAGTACAAACGCCATGTTAGTCATTATAGTTGTGTGTTTGTTTAAGTGAGTCAGATAGATTCATTCTTTAAGCTTTAGTTACGAGGAATATTGCTCTTATGACTCTTGGAGAATGTGGACAATGGAGAGAGTTAAGTTTGAGGGGTTAATAGCTGGAGGTGTGTGTGTGTTATTGACCCGCCGCTAGGCAAGGAAAGGTCACGGACAAGTAGCGACCAACCAACTCCCACCCTGGCGAACCTCTGCCCGACCTCCCTCTCTTGTCTGATTATCTCTCACTTTACCTCCCACCTTCCTATCCCCTCACCTCTCTCCCTCACCTCACCTCTCTCCCTCCCCTCACCTCTCTCCCCACCCCACCCCCCTCCCTCACCTCACCTCCCTCCCCTCACCCCCTCCCTCCCCCCACCTCTCTCCCCCCCCTCCTCCCTCACCTCCTTTCTCACACCTCCTTTCTCCCCACTCTCCTCCCTCACCCTCTCCCTCCTCCCCCACCTCTCTCCTCACCTCCTTCTCCCCACCTTCTCTCTCCCTCCCCTCACCTCTCTCCCTCCCCCTCACCTCCTTTCTCCCTCACCTCCCTCCCCCCCACCTCTCCTCTTCTCACCTCTTCCCTCCTTCTTTCATTACGCCCCTCCTCCTCCAGGGTAGAGTGTGGGGTCGTGGGCGGGACGAAGGTAGGAAGGAACACCTCCCCACCTATACATGAAATTACATACGGTAGTTGAGAGTTAAATGGCTTTAGTGAGTAGTTAGTATTACTGTGTGATGTAATTAAGGTAAAGTTATTGTGGTAAGTTAAAATAAATTTACTTTGTTAATGTATCGACCAGCAATTAATTAGTATAAGGATTACACGGTGGTCTGACAGGTGTGTGTTAATTAGGGTCATTACGAAGTTAGTTAGCCGTTTAATTACGTCATTCCGAAGTCTTTAAACTTACCCTAAATCCACCTTAGTTAATACCAGTATACAAGTCCTTATCGTCCATTATATAACCCCTTAATTATAGGTGTTTCTACCAGACATAATTGTGAGGGTTGTGGCGTCTCACTGTCTCTGGTGTGGAGGAGGTAGTGAACTGTGACGCCTCCTCACCCTAGATTTATCCAAGCCTATTTAGGTCATCATCCTTGAGAACTATGACTAAACCCCTTGAGTACTATGACTAAACCCCTTGAGTACTATGACTTAACCCCTTGAGTACTATGACTTAACCCCTTGAGTACTATGACTTAACCCCTTGAGTACTATGACTTAACCCCTTGAGTACTGAAGAGTTTTAATATGAGAAGTAAAATGTTAAGGATATGAACAAGTATGTGTGAGGATAGTTCTACTTATTGTCTTAGCGCTTTACTGTCACTTTCTACACTTGTCTTGCATCGTCCCCATTATTACTCACCCTTTCCTTATATTTTTTGTACCATGCACATACAAGCATCCTTCACGCGTAGAAAAACAATACCTTATCCGTCAAGGCAGTGAAGGCGGGAATTTGGGCTGACTAAAATCAAACCTAAAAATAAAAATAATTCGGTCTTTTCTTGCTCTTCCGACTTTCGTTCCCCGACAAACTACCCGACTAACTACTCGACACGTGAGAGGGTTAAGTTAGCGAGATATTATTCTTTATGTTGTAGGGGAACAAACCCGCCGTGGACATGCAACAAGACGTGCAATACTGACCCACACCCAACACATCCCACACCCAACACATCACAACAGTATAGTGTTGTTGTAGTTTTCCCTGGCTACCTGGCCGGCCAGAGTAAGGTGGTACTTGGCAACTCGCGTCTTGCCACCCCGGTATGGCAGGCTTCCTCTCTGGGTAAATTTGTTTAATAATAGAAGATGAGAGAACGGTGAGGCCTGTGTGCGTGCGTGTGTGCTCAGCCCCCCTCTGCTCATCCGATGGTAACTCCCTAATTAAAGACGATGAAGGCATCATTCAGCACTAGAAAGAGCACTACCATTCACTGCTCAACCGAAACACTGATGTGGATGTCCAGCAGCTCCCTCAGCATCCAGAGCTGACCCACCTCAGCTATCCTCCATCCCTGGGTAAGGCAGCTACTGCCATCAAACAGATGCAAAATAACAAAGCCTCAGGGGCTGATGGAATCCCAGCCGAGGTGTATAAAGCAGGAGGACCTCTGCTTACCAGCCGCCTCCACTGTCTCCTGGAGAATATATGGGAAAAGGAGGAAATCCCCCAAGCTCTTAAAGACGCCTCCATCGTCAATATTTATAAGAAGAAGAGAAGGGGGACTGGTCAGACTGTGACAACTACCGCGGGATCTCGCTGCTGTCCGTAGCTGGGAAGATTATCGCCCGAGTCCTCCTGAACAGACTTCTTCCTGAGGTGGAAAGCTTCCTCCCAGAATCTCACTGTGGCTTGAGACCATCATGTACCGGATGAAGGGCCTTTTCAACATAAGACGACTCTAGGCAAGAACAAAGGTGTCGGCAGTTTCCATTACTGAACTTCAGTATGCAGACGACCTCACCCTGTGTCTCTCACACTGAACGTGACCTACAAGAGATCCTCAACACCTACGCAGATGCGTATGCACACTTCGGCCTTGAGGTGAATGTACGTAAGACTCAGATTCTCTTTCAGCCTGACCTGGTTCAGACACACCTCCACCACCCATCCAGCTTAACGGTACTACCCTCTCGAATGTTACCCACTTTCGGTATCTCGGCTCCCACCTGTCCACCACCGCGGACATCGATGAAGAGATTCAACATCAGTTCAGATGCGCATCTCAAGCCTTTGGCAGACTCCGCACCCGCGTCTTCATTTGTAGGGAGCTGAAATTGTCTACAAAGTTGCACTTATATCGAGCAGTGGTCCTCCCCATCGTGCTATATGGCAGCGAGACACATACAGGAGACACCTCAAAGCACTCAAAAACTTTCACCAACGTAGTCTACGTTCCATCCTCCGAGTTCGCTGGGAAGACAAGAGAACAAACGCCAATATTTTTGCTGACACCAGTTGTAGGAGCATCCGTGAACAACTACATTGGACTGGCCATGTTACCTTCGTGGACGACAGTAGACTGCCAAAGCAGCTACTTTACAGACACCTAACGAAGAGTAAAATTAACGCCGGCGGTCAACTGAAAAGGTATAAGGATAGTCTTAAGACAAACCTGAAAAAGTGGCAAATCGTCCACCTTACCTGGGAGAGAATCACTCCACACCGTAATGCTTGGAGGAACACCACACGAGGTGTTAGTACTTTCGAGTTAGCCCGACTGCAAACCGAGATAGACAAGCGCCAACGCCGGAAAAACGCTGCCGCCGCCCCTCCCACATTAAATGCAGCCCTCCACATGTGCAACATCTGTAGACAACCCTGCCGGTCCCGTATCGGCCTCTCGAGTCACCTCAGAACTCACCAACGAAGGTGACATCCTTAATAACTCATATCATTGTATCATAGCTGGATGATCGTCGTACTCGATTCCGAGTGACAGCAAAGTAGTAGTCGTAGTGTGTGTGTGTGTGTGTAACCGACCCCAGGAATATTGTGTGACTACGGAAATTATGTTGTTTTAGCCTCTCTCTGGTAAATAAACCCATGGTAATGACATACCCCTCTGTACCTGATACACCGGTAACTACACACGTCGAGTGTAATCACGCCTCACTTACCAACTACAGCACACACACACACACACACACACACACACACACACATGAAAACATAAAAGAAGTATACATAAATGCACATAAACGTGTATAAGCATAACACACATAATACAGTAAAAAGATGAATACATAATACACATATGTATACTTGACACAAATGGGGAAACTTGAGTTATGCCTACCAGGGGGGAGGGGAGAGATCACACCAGCGTACTCATTGACTGAGCTCATAGTTATCCAATCTTTGTACTTCGAATCTGTGAGACCTCTTAGCCACTTCCTCTCTAACTTATACTATCAATATTGTGAGACAGAGATAATAAGTTTAGTAGATATACAAAAAGGCTTATCTATTCCTGGCAGTGTGTGTGGAGGGAAAATGATGACTGCCAGTTTTCGTATCGACCAGATCTCTCTCTCTCTCTCTCTCTCTCTTATGTCTGGGCTCACACACACACGCACGCGCACACACACACACACACACACACACACACACACACACACACACACACACACGCACACACATCGTACTCAAGGGGTTAAATAATCGTACTCAAGGGGTTCACACATCTTAGTCGGGGTTAAATCATCGTAGTCAAGGGGTTAAGTCACTGTACTGAAGGGGTTAAATCATCGTACTCAAGGGGTTAAATCATCGTACTCAGGGGGCTAAATCACCGTACTTAAGGGGGTTAAATCACCGTACTCAAGGGGTTAAAATATATGAACTCAGGCATATTCATTGCAGTGATTCCACTGATCCACTAATTTTTCTTAAATTATTAAAAAGAATTTATTTCCATTTATAAGCATTATTATGAATTTATTGTAGCAGGCACAGTATAGCACTATAATTTTGGACGATAGTCCTCTTCTTTACCATTTGAAATTTGAATTATATCAATTTTGTTTCGTTGAAAAACTGCACAGAGGCTCTCAGCTACAAAACAATTAGCTACAACCTGTTTTTTGGTGAGATTAAGAGGCAAATTTAATTTAATAACTTAATCATGTAAGGTTTATCCATTTTCCTTAATAAGGTATTCATTTCTTTAATGTACATAAATATATAACTTTACTTTAAAAGGTGTAGGATCATCATTTAGATCCATCAGATTATGAGCAAACAAAATTCATATGCTGAGATCGAACTTTTAGATATACATGTAAATGGTGTTTTCTAGTTAATATCTTGAATTCTTAATAAATTTATTTTTTTTTTGATTGAAACTTTGAAAGTCAAGCCTTCATCTTTTTGTAGTTCTTAAATATCGTCCAGATCATTAATAAAGCTGTAGCAGTATATACTACGGTGTTTTACTTTTTACCTATGCAGGTTACAACATACAAATTACAATTAGGATGGTAGAAATAGTTGTTACAAATAGGCAAGGAGTCCGGAGTCAGAGTCAGGTCAGGAAGCATAAAATTTGAGGGTCAGTCGAAGGTTTGTCTTCGACTCCACAGCCTCTCAAAGGGTTCCACATCTTAGTCAGGGGTTAAATCACCGCACTCAAGAGGTTAAATCACTGCACTCAAGAGGTTAAATCACCTCACCTGGCGCGGTTTAAATCACCGTACTCAGCGTTAAGTCACCGTACTCAAGGGGTTAAATCACCGTATTCAAGATGTTAAATCACTGCACTCAAGGGGTTAAATCACCATATTGAAGCGGGGTTAAATCACCGTATTGAAGGCTAAATCACCGTACCGTTAAGGGGTTAAATCACCGCACTCAGCGGGGTTAAATCATCGTACTCAAGGGGTTAAATCACTGTACTCAAGGGGTTAAATCACCGTACTCAAGGGGTTAAATCATCGTACTCAAGGGGTTAAATCACTGTACTCAAGGGGTTAAATCACCGTACTCAAGGGGTTAAATCACCGTACTCAAGGGGTTAAATCACCGTACTCAAGAGGTTATATCACCGTACTCAAGGGGTTAAATCACCGCACTCAAGGGGTTTAATCACCGTACTCAAGAGGTTAAATCACCGTACATAAGAGGTTATATCACCGTACTCAAGAGGTTAAATCACCGTACATAAGAGGTTAAATCACCGTACTCAAGGGGGTTAAATCACCGCACTCAAGGGGTTTAATCACCGTACTCAAGAGGTTAAATCACCGTACTCAAGAGGTTATATCACCGTACTCAAGGGGTTAAATCACCGCACTCTAGGGGTTAAATCACCGTTGTGTTGTTGAGGGTATAATTTCTGTTGTTTGAGTGTTGCGTTATCACCTTTTTCCATCCACTGTCCTTCTTGCTTTGTTCTTCTTTATTCTCGTCTTTTGCTTTTCATCTTTTTTATCTCATTTTTATGATTGTTGGAATTTTTTAAAGTTATTTGATATTTTTTATTTATTCTTTATTCTGTTCGTGTGTGTCTTATCACCTCTCTCTCTTTCTCTCTCTCTCTCTCTCTCTCAAACCTAGGTGGTACCCCCAGTGTGTGTAGAAATACCTGGGTTGGTGGCGCTCCTGTATCGACCCTACCTACACCACACCACCCAGTCCGAGCTGCTGTTGTGTTCTGCTGGTAGTGGTGGTGGTAGTAATTGTTGTTGTTGTTGTGGTGGTAGTGGTTGTTGTTGTGGTAGTTATTACTGCGATGGTGGCAATTGTTGTGGTACAGTGGGTAGTTATAGTGGTGGTGGCTGTAGCAGCGAGAGAGGTGGTGGTGAAGGAGTACTGTGTAGTGGTGATGGTTGTGGTGGTGAAGGAGTAGTGTGTAGTGGTGTATTGGTGATTGTTGTTGGTTGTATGGTGGTGGGGAGTGAGTACGTAATGGTGGTGGTTATGGTAGTGAAGGAGTAAGGTGTGTGGTGGTGATGGTTGTGGTGGTGTGAAGGTAGTGTGTGGTGGTGATGGTTGTGGTGGTGAAGGAGTAGTGTGTGTGTGTGGTTGTGGTGGTGAAGGAGTAGTGTGTAGTGGTGATGGTTGTGTTGGTGAAGGTAGTGTGTGGTGGTGATGGTTGTGGTGGTGAAGGAGTGGTGTGTAGTGGTGATGGTTGTATGGTGGTGAAGGAGTAGTGTGTAGTGGTGATGGTTGTGGTGGTGAAGGAGTACTGTGTAGTGGTGATGGTTGTGGTGGTGAAGGAGTAGTGTGTAGTGGTGTATTGGTGATTGTTGTTGGTTGTATGGTGGTGGGGAGTGAGTACGTAATGGTGGTGGTTATGGTAGTGATGTGTAATGGTAGTCAGGGCGGGATATAGAACCATGTTAACTGGAGGTGAGGATGACAGTGGTGGACGGGAACTAACACAAAACCTTGGCCAGATGTTGAGTTGTGGCTGTAATAGAATCAAGAGTGTGTGTGCGTGTGTGCTGCAGAACATCACTGCAGCAGGAGAAGGCGCACATCTGTGTTAAAATAAAGTCCTTCAAGGTTTACAGCAGCAGGAACTACACTTTACAGCACTGGGGTCAATTTTACAGCCCCAGCAGCTCATATTGTTTCTTGGGATCCTGCCGAAGCTGCAGCATTAGGGCCTAAATTGTACACCACCTGAGAGATAAGTGTACAACGGAAATCCTCCCAGAGTTTACAGCGTCAGAGAGTAACAACTTTAAAGCAAAACCTCCTTGTAATCCCTACCCGGTGGTGGTGAAGGTGAAGGTGGGAGTTGTTGGAGGTACTGGTGGTGGTGGAGGAGGTGGTGGTGGTGGTGGTGGAGGTGGGGAGTTGCTGGTGTACTGGTGGTGGAGCAGGCTACAAAAGTATGCAAAGGGAGTTGTTGGAGGTACTGGTGGTGGAGCAGGTTGTGGTGGGATGGTGAAGGTGTGGGGTGTTGGAGGCACTGGTGGTGGAGCAGGTTGTGGTGATGGTGAAGGTGGAGTTGTTGGAGTGTGGCCTGGTGGAGGAGGAGGAGGAGTAGGAGGTGGCGGCGTGACAGTGGCGGGGATTATTGGCCGGTGGGTATCCCGTCGCTCGATAACTGTACCCTGTAGTTCTCACGCTGCCCTGAGAGAGAGAGAGAGAGAGAGAGAGAGAGAGAGAGAGAGAGAGAGGTTATCAACATATATATGGATTACACGTACTACTGTGATATATATATATATATATATATATATATATATATATATATATATATATATATATATATATATATATATATATATATATATATATATATATATATATATATATATATATACACTTCCGTATGTGTATGTTCCTGAAAGAACATTCAATGTGGCCAAAAGAATCACACTTGAGAGAGGTTGACAACCGATTAACGAGTCGTGTAATGAGAGTCGTGACAAAGACTCGTGTATGATAGAGGCGTGACAAAGACCCCTGTATGACAGAGGCGTGACAAAGACCCGTGTATGACAGAGGCGTGACAAAGACCCGTGTATGACAGAGGCGTGACAAAGACCCGTGTATGACAGCACAAACTATCATCATCCACCAAAATATACTTGTCATATTGTGAATGTTTACTTGGTCTTGTCTTCG